ACTGGTTTATCATCACATGTTGCATGTTCAGTTTAACTCTGTAAATATGTGAGTAATTAGGTTATTTTTTGATATAATTCAGGTGTAGGCATGCGTATATTCATGTGCACTTAAGGGTAATTTCACCAAAACCTAACATCTTTCCTTGGTAGGCTATAACTCCGGGTGCGTAATTCTGGACACATTTATGGTGGACGTTTGTTGGTGAACACTTTGCGTGGACTGAGACGTATAGAAAGTGTATGCGAAGAAAAGTTAGGTTGCGAGGAATCTCTTGTTTCATAATTGTCAAGCCCACTTCCATTTGGAGTGAAAGTGTTTGGTGAGGTGGAAGTAAGCTTAACAAGTATAGAAATGTACTGTAACTGGAACTATAGCAAACAAAAGACTAGGTGTCATTTCATTTTTCTGGGCGGTATAGCACCTTCTCTACACTTAAGTCTATCAATTATCCATATGGATTTCTTATTTGATTTTACGTTCATAAATAGTTTTTCGAGATTACCAGAAGATTATATATATGAGGTGCATTCAACCTATTTCGTTTAAGGTGAGAAGGGGAGTGGTAGTTGAATTTTTTCACAATCTTATATGTAGACCTTATGTTTTCATTGAATTTCACACACCCTCGCTTTCCCTAAAGATTTTCTCATCCAGGTTAGACTAGACTGCAGTTTCGACCTTGCCCGAACTGGTCTCATTAGCTCCTCCAGTGGGACTCGAACCATGACGGTGCAGCGTATAAGCTCGAAACGTTAACCACTACGCCGCATTGCCTCAAGAGTCCTTGAGTCACAAGATCCTCAAGGAAGCCCAGGCATTTTCTCATATCAGATTTTGTGGTAGGATTGCCGATCAAGCAATGTGGCAAAATGGTTAATGTGTCGATATTATGTGCTGCAGTGTCATGGTTCGAGTCCCACTGGGGTGCTTATGGCACCTGGGCAATTTCAGTTCGTACCGGCCTGCACGAGAATACTTCTTGGGAAAACAAGGCTATGTGAAATTCAATAGAAACATTAGGTATAGTCATATCATTGTGGAAAAATTCAACCACCAGTCCAAATTGTGGGAATATACTTCACATATTTCTTATTTATCTTCTTACTGGTAATCTGGATATTTAAGATATTGACTAATTTGTTGAGTTTGATTATCTTTAATTTTTGGCTTAGCTACGTGCACAGCGTTATCAACAATATAACAACTTTAAGACTATATCATATCAGATAATGCCTTACCCATTTTTCTTAACTTAATCGGGTTTTCAGGGTAAACCATATGAACTTGTATCCAAGGTTCTTTGCTATAGTAGTCGTGCCTTTTTCCTACATTGAGCTGTGAAGCTACTCTATCATTCCCAGCAATGTCGACCACATTGTCAATGAGTCTTGACGATATTAGCATAAGCTACAACTCTTCAACAAGATAGGACCTTAGTTGCTTAGATAGGTGCTAAAAATAGCAAAACTCACTGACAATTTTGGCGAAACTCTGGGGTTGTACCAAGTCCAAGATCCGATGCTAGGAATTATCATGACTACTAGCGCAGAGTGTTTAGCACAAAACGCTTTCCTCTAGGCCGTCTTGACAACACGAGATTAGAAGTCACACAATTGTGCTCTTCATATTATTCATTCAATCTCATGTCGATTTTCTGTCATGTGTTCCGCTATTTCATAACGTTAAACCTTATGGCCTTTACAAGCATTTTTGTGTTTGGCCACTCTATCAAATACAGCGGTTGGTATCTCCAGCCCAAAGTTGGTCTGGATAATGGTTAAATTTTATCCATTAAATTTGAGAATACTAAAAAAATTGCCATGGTTACCGTCGGCCACTGTCAGTAAATGGATAGCCCAGATTTGGTTTAAAATCAAAACATTGTGGAAGCAGTGATCATAGTTACTTTGAAGTAGTCATATGCGATATTGCCCCTTTCAAGTTGATCTACATGGGAGTACCTATCGCTTTAAGATATATCTTTTTAAGGAAGGCCCCAGTATCATTCGGGAGGATTTGAAGCATTAATCATGAATCGTTGAGCTCTAACGAATGAGACCTTTTCTTCTAGGTATCTGCTCTTTACTTACAGTCCAGGTGGATACTCGGCTCAAATCTACAACTTTTCACGTACTCGAGTACATTTCTGGAAGGGAGTTCGGACAATTAACCATTTGGTTTAATGATGACGTGACGAGATTAGATGCTATAATGCCACAATTCGATTCCCAGTTGGAGCTGGTGAGACAAAGGGAGTGTCGAAACTGCAGTCCAAGTTGGATGAAAATGCGTTTTTGGAAACAAAACTTTGCGAAATTGGATGGAGACATTAGGACTACTCATATGATTTTGGGAAAAAAAACTAACAGTCCTCCATTTTAGTATGCCAGTTAGGGTGACTGGCATTCAGTTTGTACGTTTATAGGACATGAAAATCTTGATGATTTACATCTGCTAGATGCATATATTTTAATATCAGTCCCTAAGTTTGTGTAACCTGCATATGATACCAATGTTAATTCGGTCGACCCACCAATTCTTTTATAAAATTCACGAAATTGCTGCGAACTCTTTTTACCGTCTTGCCAAAGGGCATCATCGGATGGTGCTGATGAGATCCGGTCGAAGTCGAAACGTCAGTCTAGTCCAGCCGGGATGAGAATACCTGTTGGGAAGTCAGGCTGTGGTGAATTCTATGATAAGAGGGGGCTATTCATGTGATTGTGTAAAAACTTAACTTTCAGTCCTTACTCATCACCTTATGCGACATTGAGTGACCATAATTCTTATTCAAGATTAATTGATAGTCTCGAAAACTTATTTAATCTGAGTATGTTTGAAGGGAGTTTTGCGCTTACCAGACTATAGATAGCCAATTGCAACTGGTTTTTTGCATTGTATGAATGGATAATCTGTCCACAAATAAGTGGGCAGAAAGATTGCTTTTTACACCGAATTTCTCTCAATAAAATGTATCCCAAAGGTCTGTTCAAATCTAGAACAGACCTCGTCTTCATTCGCTTCCCCAGTGGGATTCCTAAAGTTGACGTACTAACTAGAAGGTGAGCCTACTGACCTCTGAGCCACACGAGCACAACACTACAAAGAATGGCGCTAGGAAAAAGTGTGTTTGCCTCTTAACCCTCTCGTCCACGATATGAATCTGCCTGGAGCTGTAGGGTGGGACTGAGGCTGTCGTTCGGCTTGAATGGAAACGACATTTTGCGATGCATGGTGGACTGCACAAATCAAACATTCTCGTCACCTCATTGTGAACATTCTTTCTTTCCTCCTCACAAGAGACCAATCGAAACTGGTATATCTCAACAACACTTACCCAGTCTAGTGATAGTTGCTAAACAAAACTGTCATCAATGCAGGGGCCCACAACACAAGTTATTTCTCCGAAACACATCCATTTGGTATTAAAAATTGCCAGGACTTGCCCACATTCAGTCATCAAATTAGTGTGACTACAGGTATGCCCATATTTCCTCATCATAAAGTATACACGTCTACGTAATTAGGTGAATATCTGCATGATTTACTGTCTCAAGGTCTCAGAGGTTATCTCCTCATCCCTATCGTCTTTGATTGATGGATCTATTACATGCATACATACACACTTACAAACAAGCAAGCAAACAAACATATATACATATACACAAACATACACACAAGCATACATACATACATATACAGACACTTGTAAATCTAATACACAGTTTCGTGCTAAGATTAAGTATGCTGGAAACTGGAAACATGTCTTGTCTAGCTATAGTCGTGTGCGTGTGTGCCTAAGTGACTCTCCCGATCCAGGGTTATATGTCCCAAATCGCGGCCATTTGAGTTAGTCTCCTAAAGTCATTTGGGTATGAATTTTCGTCTGAGTTGACTTTCTTCGTCCGAAGCGTTTCCTCTGTTTCTCCTCTTCGCTCGAGCGCGTTTGCCCATTTCCAACGGTCGCCCAGTGGCTGTGTGCGCATGATTTAGTTGAAAATTAACTTTGCACGCATCGGTGATCCGAGCCAAGTGAAGTGAAATCTCGGACCTGCAGACACAATCTGCTCATCTTGCATAACTGTAAAGTGAGACGACCATCAGCAGATGCTGTTCGACCGAATGAAGAGGGTGGCCGACTGCCACGCAGACAGACGGACAGTCAGACAAATGGGGGTTGCCAACGTGCATACGAGGCGTATGATGCCCACAGCCGGGCGTAGGGAAATCTCGCCGAGGCGAGTGGAGCGGCCGATTTGTGCACACCCCAGGCATGGGCGACACTTGTGTGAGTCGACGGCACCTGCGGGACCCCCAGATTGAGGAGGCAGCCCATGTGAAGACAGCCTCCTGCCGTGACAGCGAGTGGGCCGACTCGGGCTTGGAGCAATGAGCTGAAAAATGCCCCA